TGCGACCTCACAAAAGGCACACAGGGATTGATCGGCTGCGTTGCGAGTTGTAGCGAGCAGTACAGCATCATCCGCAAACTCGAAGTCATCAGCATGGCCGGACTCGGAGTGGGGACGGCGCCTAGTGACACGAGGGAACAGCTGGCCATCAATTGTGAAGCTGAAGCCCACACCAGACTCTATTCCACGCTCAACGAGAAGGGATCGCCAACGCTCAATAACTAAGCCGAAGTACAAGTTAAACAGTACAGGTGCCATCACGCACCCTTGGCGAAAGCCCATTCTTGACAGATATCGGATCCGTGCAACCACCGGCAACGCGAACGCAAGCTGACATGTCTGTATGGAATGATTTGATGATGGCCACAGTCGGGGGCGGCACACCCAGCCGCAGCAATGCCTGCCAAAGAGCTTCGCGAGGGACAGAGTCGTACGCTTTGCGGAGATCCACAAATACGCAGAAGAGCTTCGATCGATGTTCGTACGACTTCTCGACAAGTTGACGGACAGAGAAGATGGCGTCCGCACAACCACGGTGCCGCCGAAACCCGCATTGGGATTCAGGCAGTTCCGCCTCAGCAATACTTTGCAATCGGTTTTGCATGATCCGAGCAGCCAACTTGCCAACAACCTCCAGCAATGCGATCCCTCGCCAATTATCGCAGCGAGAGAGGTCGCCCTTCTTTGGAATCGGTACCAGCAGTGCATTGCGCCAGTCCTGGGGCACGCAACCCCCCGACCAGACAGATTGGAGTAGGTCCAGGAGGAGTGGATGGAGGACAGGCACACCAACCTTCAGCAGCTCCGGCACAATCTGTGACATACCACCAGCTTTGCCATTCTGTAGGTGTCTAATTGCCTGAGTCAGCTCATCCTCCGATGGTTGCAGTGAGAGGGAGTCCTCGACCTCACGCTGAGGGATAAGTTGGAAGACATGCGGATCGTACACACTGCAGACATTCAAGACACCCGAGAAATGCCCATGCCATGTGCCCTGCTGCTCCTGAACCGATTCGCAAAGAACTCCATCGGCATTGCGGATGGATTGGACAGACAGGGGTTGCAAGCCCCCAAAGCAGCGTTGCATGTCGCGAATGGCAGACCAGACAGCTTTGCCACTGAAACGTCCACGGTGCACCACCGCCGCTTTGTCCATCAACCAAGTTGTTTTTGCCTTCCGGATACCAGTACGAGCCCGGCCACGCGCTTCTTTGAACGCCCGGTGATCAGAGTCCCTGCCGCTTCTCAGCCATTGGCTATACAGGGTATTACGAGACTCCAGTAGAGGCTCCAATACAAGGGCATTGTCACGGAACCAATCTGGCATCCGCCGCTTGTCCCGACCAACCACCTGCTCCGCCGCGTCAACAACAGCCGACTTCACGGTACTCCACTTACAGTCCACAGACGAGGCGCGGTCATACGTGGCTAAACGAGATTCAAGACTAGCACAGTACTCAGCACGTACAGTAGCCACACGCTCAGCCTCCTCTTCACTCATGAATGGCTTCCGATTGAATTGGTGAACAGCAAACTTCCGCGGCCTGGAACGTGCATCATGATGGTACCGTTGCTGCACAACGTCAGGTAGCCGGTATTTCATGCGGACAAGACGGTGGTCTGTGCTACACTCTGCAGTGCGCATCACTTGACAGTCCATGCAACGTTTACGGTGTTGTTGGCGTACGAACACATAATCTATACAATGCCACTTCTGTGATCCAGGGTGTTGCCAGGTGTACATGTGAATGCGTTTCTTGGGAAACAGTGTGTTACATACTGTGAGCTGTTGACACGCCAAGAATGTGAGTAGTCGATGACCAGCATCGTTCACATCACCAACACCATGTGATCCATGCACTCCCTGCCACATCTCTAGTTGCTGTGGGCCAAAACCAACACGAGCGTTGAAATCCCCCAGGACGATGACGTCATCAGCAGAGTTGACATCGCTGAGAGCAGACTGGAACTGAGCAAAGAACTCTTCCTTGTCAGCATGGGGGGATCGAAACGTAGGAGCGTAACATGAAATCACTGACATCCACCCGTGCTCAAATCTCAACCTGGCCGTCACGATGCGCGACGAGACGGGCCTCCACTGGCAGCCTGCACGTTCAAATGCCTGCTTGGCCCTCCGACGCAGAACCAGCGCAACACCCTCGCCACGACGAAAATTTTCGTCAGGTACGGGGCGACCAGAGGCGAGTACAGTCGCATCGTCGATGTTGAAAGAGTCTCTCCCAAACCATTTGGTTTCCTGCAGGCCAGCCACTTCCACGTCAAACCTGGACAGCTCACGGATAACCAAGTCGATCTTTCTGTCCTCCACGACGGGCACAAAATTCAAATTTTCAAAATTCACTCGTCTCTTTGCCGTCTCGACCGGTCCGTCATTGTTGACCAGAGTGCGGACGTTCCAAGATCCAAAGGCCAATGTTCGCAGCCTTCCTCTCCTCCGCCTTCCTGACAGTACTCTCTGAGCTTCGCAGCTTGAAACCATTCGGGGGTCAGCTACACCACCGCGAATGGAGAGACGAGGACGACAACGGTCGTGACAGAAAAGAAACTGCCCTGGCGACCGCGCCGCGGAACCCTCGCCTCAGGAAATTTAGGAACACGCCAGGGGCGACTCTGGTGAACCCAGAGCCACCCCGTGGCCTAAGACTAGTAAGAAGAACGACGGAAAAACTCAGATAAATCGGAGCTACAAAAAGTGCAACCGTCCCCTTCAAACACAAGGGACACACACACACACACACACCTCGATACAGAAAATAAAATCCTCACCTCGGCGAAGAACTTGCTGAAGTAGAAAATCCAGGTCTTTTACATGTGGTTGTCATGGTCACGTATCAACACAACTGCTTTTGTTGGAAACACCTGCATGGCAACAATATCACCATCACAACATCACCATGACAAGCTGTGAATCGAGTTGTGGCCGACCGCCTTTTTCTAGCACACGGCAGACAAGTAGTGTGATACATATGAAAGCTGAACAGTACAGTCATGCGTTGAGAAAATGATTTCAATCAATTTTGACATTCTAGATGTATATGTTAGCTGCTCCCGGCTAATGAAGTCCCTTCACACCAAAACACAAAGGTTTTATGTATTGAATTATGGAAGTACAAGAGTGTAGACAAGAAGGAGAACAGGACAACGACAACTCAAGACTAGACTAGAACAGAACAGAACTGGAAACCCACTGGAGCATGCGATCTTCATGTGAGTGGCTCTCATCGCCAAGGGGAACGAACGGGAAATACGAATAGTGAGTACTTGTATGACATTGTACAGGTCGTCGAATAAATACACCTACAATGTATTACATACATATGCACTTGTGAAAAGCTGGCTGAGATTCTCATAGTAACAGTGTGTGCACTTGAACACTTTGAGCGGGTTTTAAAATGAAAAAAAACATTTTCGGTGTCAGCAACCTGCCAGGTTTCAGGTGTAATGTAGAATTAGGTGACCAGTGTACCCTTCTCATACAGTGTGTACTCTAGAGAATGTTTAGGTGTTATCACAATTTAGGTGCCTGGTTTCTGTACGGAAATTACCGAAATTACAATTACACTGAAAATAAGGTGTTATCTACTGTAACTTGGAGTCACTTTGCTGGTGGAGTGAATGAGGATGGCTGGAGAGGGCATGTGGTAAGGACCTGTGACTTTGCCTACGTATCCCCAACTGATGATGAAATTACATTATTATAAATCTGTACATGCATAATAATTATTATGGTATCTGATTGTTGTATGACTGCTGCATGATGCATGCCAGGCCAGACCAAGAGTGATGAGGACATTGAGAGAAGTGACCACACTCCCCATCATGTACCCTGCTGATGATCACACCACAATACACAGTCAATAGGGCTTGAAAGTGCTACGTCACAGCATAGCAATGGCATAGCAACAATTTGAAAAATTCAAAAATTGGATCCACCTGGATCCAGTTTTTGTATGGATCCAAGCACATTTCAAGCGGTATTACTCACAGCAAGGTGATGTAGCCAGTGAAACTGACTGATTTGGCTAGTGGGGCGGGGTGACAACTGGTGACGAAGTAAAAGTCACGTCTGCATAAGATATGAGTGGGTTGCTATGCACCCACATACTAAGGCAATAGCAAAGTCACACCTTAGTGGATCCAAAATAGAAATCTGATGTCAACTTACTACTCCCAGGCCGTTTTTACCGTCATCACTGTCAAGCCCTATACACAGCCAATACCGACTGTTTATGTACTGATCAGTAACCATGGGAACAGCTGTACAACTCCCTGCTATCTACACAGTCAGTAGAGAGTTGTAGCAACTCGTAAACGAGTACAAGTCCGTGGTCGACTCGGGTCCTGGTTATAGCAACTCGTCAACGAGTACGAGTCCGAGTCCGTGGTCAACTCGGGTGCCTGGGTTTGAGTCTCGTTTCGCACCGCAAGCCGAGCTCGTTCTGTACGAATCAGGGCAGTTGATTCGTTATGGCATACAAGTCCTTTCTTTTTGATTTGATTTCTATAAGCGAGGAGCGCAGCGTGAAGATTTTATTCAAAAAGAGTGTGATTTGAGAAGAGGGAAGCTCCAACTTGAAGTTCAAATCCTCATTGTGGTTTTCTTTTGCTGGTGGATGATTTCTAGGCTCGTGTCCATCTTCTGACGTGCAGTGAGAAGATCATTGATGAGAAGGAAATAGTCTTGTTTTCCTATGCACTGGATGGGGAAAACCCCTGGTAGACAAGCTCAGCCGCGACTTATTCCATTTCCTCTACGCTCGTACAACACGCTCTGTACAAGATCAGAACTCCTGCTGCTGCTATGCATTTTTAGCACACACAGTTACTGTTCAAGTAAAGTGTTAGCGCATATCGACTGTAAACTAGTGATGTCCATTCATATACACAGCTCTTTCTTGTATGAGAGGTGAACGCATTGCTAACACTAAACACACTGGACAGGTTAAGATACACGGTATTTCTGATGAGATGTCAAAATAATTAGTTAGTTCAGATCGCGTTATTTGACTCGCGTGTCGAAAAACAACCCAAGTGACCTGCAGCTCACGTCCAACTTTGGACTTTTACGCCAAATTTGAGGAGAAATTGGGCGTCACACGTGGGAAATAACATGCATGTTTTAAAACCTCTCTAATGATATCCATTAGTAATGGATAATGACTTGCGCGCGCTCGTCGTTCACGAGTTGCTAAAACTCCCTGACAGTCAGTACTGACTGTCTGACTCTACCCCAGAGTTGGAATATTACGACTCCATGGACATCACTAGCACTACGGGAATAATGTACATGTTTAGTCTGGTGCAGCAGTAGTACAATCATGTCATGACTGTACTGACTAGTCGGTGTCACGTAGCTACAGCTGTACAGTAGGCAATGCTTAGAAGTAACAGTTAGTTAGATCAGTGCATATGCGCATATGCGGGGTATGGCTCACCAGATAAAGACAGCACTGAAATAAAAATAATTTAATATTTCGAAAAAAAGATTTTTCACTCATTTTACAGTGCAGCACAGTGCAGTGTGTAATGAGAAGGGTTTCTTCTTGTGCATCTACCATTGTCTACGCCCCCCCCCCCCCCCATCACCACCACGTACATGTCATGTAGATCTACCTACCACCATTACCACAGGACTTCACAAAATACATGATTTGTAGTGGTGGAAAAACAACGCAACATCTACAAAGTCCGAGGATAGTTCTGAGCTAAACACGTACCGTCACCTCCTCGAGCACACTGACCACCCAGGATTCGTACAATCATCTGTCATGCAGGCAAAGTAAAAATAATTGTAGCGTCTCCTTGCACGACGTTGTTGCCTGGTGCTCCTTGCAGCTACTTGGACACAAACCAGTCAGTGACCCATGGCGTCCGACGAGCAGAAGTTGCCAGCTTCTGTCCGAACTGCCCGTGATTTGCTGGCTAAGGCAGTTGAGAAGGCTGGTATTCAGATTAGCGGTGGCCTTGCCAGCGATGCCAAAATCCCATTGAAAGACATTTTCGTCAACTTGACGTTGCTGACAAAGGACGAACTTTCCAAACTTTTCCGTAACGAGTCATCGTCCTTTTCGTCTGCTTCTGAACGAGCACGCCAGTTGAAATTGTTCTCCGAGGCTCAGCCGCAAAGGGTCGCTACGGCCGAGCGTGGCATTGAACTGGAAGATATTTTCTCCGCTATCACCATGATCACCGAGCGGGCTTGCAATCAGGGGGCCGCGCCACGCCCGGGCTGTGACCATGAGGTAGCTGATTCTGGTTTACTGGCGCGTGCCAAAGAACCCAAGAATGTACTAGCGTTTGGAAGCGCTGGCTGTGGCAAATCCACGATCTTTCTGATCATGCTGGAATACCTCTGGTCTAAAGGTGAGCTGTGGCGTGGAAAGTTTGATCTGGTATTGACAGTGGAATTACGACGTGCCGAGGTGCAAGCTGCTACGAGCTTGTGCGACTTGCTGGCACGTCGATTCTCCAGTCTGGATGTGGAGACAGATGAGCTGCTGGAGATGTCCCGGTTCTTTCGCAGCAACCAGTCCCGTCTTTGCATTGTGCTAGACGGGCTGGATGAGTGCAAGTTGAAGAACTGCAGTGAATACATGCGTGATCTACTGTTGAGAAGGCGTAGTGGTGATATGCATGTGGTGGTGACGTCTCGACCATGTACTGATGCTCATATCCTGTCGCAGTGTGGAGAGTATCAACAGCAAGTGGAGGTGGTTGGATTCTCACCAGACGACATTGAAACGTATGTGAGGAAAGTGGTGGGCGATGTGAAAGGCGAGGCTATGCTGGAGAAGCTCCGCTCACAACAGGGCACAATGTCGCTGATGGGTACACCTCTGTTTGCTGCGCTGGCTTGTGAATTGTTCATGGACGACAGAGACGGTAGTAAATTGCCGGAATCCAGTACAGGACTGTACGAGTCACTTGTTCGCCGTGTCATGGAACGACGTGCGGGCAAACGCTACAAGACGCTTTCCGCAATCAAGACCGACGAGATTGAAGTGTTGAAGGAGCTATCTGGTTTTGCACTATCTATGCTAGCTCAGCAAAAGATGGTATTCAACGAGGAGGATGTCATTTCGGCACAACTAAGCGCGCCTGCAATTGAATTAGGATTGCTGATGGCATACAAGAGCAACAGCTCAACAGAAGACCGGCAATATCGATTTGCTCACTTGTCCATTCAGGAGTTCTTGGCGGCCTGGTACGTGTCTAGCGAGATGCTGAACGACGAGAACGACGCTGCGTGGCTGGTGAGGAGAGTCGGCCATTACAGCGGTCACATGACCATGTTCTGGCGTTTCCTGATCGCGCTCACACCGCCGAAGCCCGCAGTCGCCATCATGGAGCATCTGTGGCGGATAATCTGCAACCATGACCGTACGCAACGTGCATGCAGCCAGACTGATACACGCCTGCTCGACGACATTGTGAGCCGTTCTCAGCCAACCAAGCAAAGCAACGACTTGGACCGTATCC